CGGAGCCTGTGCTCCGCAACGGGAGAGGCCACAACAGTGAGAGGCCCACGTACCACAAAATAAAATAAAATAAAGGTGTGATTCCTAAATGCCCCAAAATGTCGGAAAATTAAAATGTTATGTTTTGAAAAGCATTAAAGAGTGTTAGGGTTATATGTGTGAGGTTTTAGACTTTTAAAAAAGATTTTAGATTAAAAATATGCTAGACACCTGAAAGGAATTATTAAGATTAATCTCAAACTATTCTCCAATTTAAAAGAATTACATGCCACTGAGAAAGTGGAAATTTCAAGCATCCTGATAGATGCTTGTCACCATATCAAATATAGTATCCGTTTTCTAGAAAGAACTCAATCGACTAAAATTTCGAATTTTCATCTGGGCAGGTGTCAACAATGATTTCTCAAAGCCTGAGACTGTGTCATCTATGAATACCTTCTAGAACGTATATTTTGCTTTTTTAAATTGAGATGTAATTCATACACCATAAAGTTCAAACTTTTAAAGCACACAATTCAGTGATTTTTAGTATATTCATAAAGTTGTGCACTCTTCTAGAGCTTGTATTTTATTGTAAACCTTTCCAATGTTTTCACACCCACTATACTACTTAAGCCTCACAGGACCCTCACGAAACTGAGGTGCACTGTGCGCGGTTGCCACATTTACCCCAAAAGCTTTCCTAATTACAGCTTCACCTCAAAAGCAGAAGCAGGGTGAAGAATTAATAATGCTACTACCTTCGAGTTAGGGAGTAACAGCCAACAACCTAATCTACCTGTTTGTTTTCTCGCTTAGAGCTCTCGTTTTACTATGTATGTAAAATCTTAATTGCGCCTAGCATTTTCGACTGGTGCATCATCAGTGTGCATTCAACGACCGCCGAACAGGAATGAGGGAAGCCCCGATTAGAGGTGGTAGCAGACACAATCCACCTCCACCACCGCCCCTCCCCGCCCAATTTCCTTCCCTGACAGGCTCAGGAGGAAGCAGTGCTTTTCTCCCCTTCTATTTTACGGTATCACTAAAGGAATGGGGGATGTGCAGACTGAGAGGTGCGGTGTGAGAGGGACACAGAATTGTTATTCCGGCGTCGAGAACGCTAACGCCAGGGTCATCGGAGGTGCCGGGCGGTATATTCCGGGTGCCCCGCCTCCCTCCGTCTCACTGTACTCTGAGGCAGGGAACCAGCCAGACGCACCACCTCTGGCGCGGGAGACCGCCTACGGCCAACGTGCGCCGTCTGCGCTTCCCATTGGTCACAGCCGCCCACGTGACTTCTACCCCCAGCCCTGCCCCAAGCGCTTTGCCAGCCGGAGAACGGGTCTGAGCAGCGCAGCTGGGCGCGGAGTCCGCCCAGGTGTGGGAGGTCGCGCAGACGACCCTGCGAAGTTCTCCTGCTGGGAACCTGATTGGATGGATGGACGATGGATGAGATAGATAGATGATAGAGATAGATTAGATAGATAGGTTACTTAAGATAGATAGCGCAAGTACTGCCCAAACAAAGTAAAACTCTTAATGAAGAAGCTGATCGAGAAGGTCCCTTTCTCCCCTTAGTGGCTTTTGTCCTCACTGAAGCCCAAATTTATCTGTTACTTTGGGGAGGCTGGAAACTGACTCACTGAAGCCCAAATTTATCTGTTACTTTGGGGACATCTACACTACACGTATGAACATAACTCTTTGGGGAAAAAAACAACCCATAGTATTTGTATGGGGAATTAAAGACACTTCTTAGAAAAGTTGAGGTGGTGGGTAGGATTTTGGGAAGTCCAGAGCAACCATCCTGATACATCATTTAAGATAAATTAGACACTCTTGGGAAAACAAAAATGATTAAAAGTGGAAAGAGGCCCTGCCCACCTCTAAAAATGTAATAAGTATTGATAGGAAAGGGCAGAATTAAAAATATTTACACACACATAGGGGAATTCCCTGGTGGTCCAGTGGTTAGGGCTCTGTGCTGCCACTGCAAGGGGCCCGGGTTCAATCCCTGGTTGGAGAACTAAGATCCCACAAGCCGCGTGGCATGGCCAAAAAATTAAAATAAATATATATAAACACACACATGTATACGTATGCATACACATATGTATAGCTAGTGTAAATGGGATATATTAATTGTAGAAGTCAGTAGAGTGTCCAGTTATTCAGCTTCTTTCTCCCTTTGAGAGTGCCTGGATGCTCATTTTACCTTTTTTTTTTTTTTTTTTTGGTGCTTCTAAGGCTCACCACCTCTCCCTTTCCTCCTCTAGATGGACACATTTACTTTTTTTATTCATAAAAAAAAAATACTAGGGCTTACTATATTCTAGGCACTGTGCTAGGTTCTGGGGTGACAATGGTGAACAAAAACAGTAACAGCCCCTTCCTTCCTGGAGCAGACAGTCTGGTAAAGGAGGCAGATAGCAGTCAATTACACACACCAATGTTAAATATAATGTGATAGGTGCTAAGAAGAGGTCCAGATGCTGTAATGGGGCTTTGACCTACTAGCGAGGTTAGAGAAGGCTTCCCTTGAGACGTAACCCAAGACTGAGACCTGAGGGGGTTAAGGAGGGTGCAAATTGCAGGCAGAGGGAATGGCTTGTTCGAGGGAGAGCTAGTAGCCTCTCCCCTTCCAATGACTGTCCATCTCACCTATTTCCACTAAACACACATTGATCTTGCCTTTTAGCTGTCAGAAGACAATTTTTTCTTTCAATTCCAAGTCCTTAGGGAGTAATGGTAACCCATAATTATTGTTATAACAATAACAACTATAACAATATAGTTATAGACAATGTGTATCCAATAGGTAAGTATGCTAATATACACATCTAATGTGCATAATCATCTCTGTCATTTTACGTAATGAAAACATGCAATGATCGTAACAAAATCTAGACTACGATGTATCCAATAGAACTGAAAGTGCTATAGATATTCGAAGTGGTGAGAGATTACATTATTTTGGAAGACTCAAAAAAGGTAACTTAGAGAAAGTAATTTTTGAGATATGCTTCACAGGTAAGATTTGGTCGAATGGAGATACAGTTTAGTTAGAGCATAAGGTTCAAGAAGAAGAGTGAGGAGGACGGACAGATAAGTTGAGATTATTCTAAGGGCACTGAAAACCAGTCCAAAGACTCTGTAGAAGCTAAATGGAAATGTTTTATTTAAGTTTTAAGGACTTTTCTAAGATACTTTTCCCCTCCAATGTTGACCTTGGAAAATTTAAAATCTACACAAAAGTTGCACAGATAAGTCTATGGTTATGCATATACTCTTCACATGGATTTACCATTTTTTTGGCCACATTTGCTTTCTGTCTCTCTGTCTCTCCACACACATACACACACACAAAGGCACATACTCATGAATGCATACACAGATGTTTTGCTTTGCTAAACCATTTGAGATAAAGTTTCAGACATAACTAACTTGATCTCCAAGGAATTCCACATATTGTCTCCTACGAACAAAGATATTTTTCTGCATAATCTCAGTACAATGATGACAATTCTGGGATAGTTTTAAAATTAAAATGTGAATAAGTATTTATGTTAATAATAATAGTAATGCATTACTTATTTTAAATGGCTTGCAACAGTGGCTGACACATTATAAGTGCTATATAAGTGTTTTCTTAAAAAAAAAAATACACTTTCAAGGTTGGGAAACTAAAGAATAAGAAAAGGCATATAGTGAAAAGTCTCTCCTGCATTCTTGTCCCCCATCTGCTCAATTCCTATCATAGGTAGCCACTGTTTTAGATTCTTGGGTATTCTTCCAGAGGTTCTTTTTGCAAATATGAACAATTGTGAATATAAATTTATATACCCCTCCCTTTTTAGACAAAGGTAGCACATTAAACACACTGTTTTTACTTGTTTTCTCACTTAACACTATGATCTGGAGCTCTCTCTGCATTAATACTTACAGAGCTTCCTAATTCTTATTTATAGTGGCATAATATTCCATAGTGTGGATACACCATCATTTATTTAAGTAGTTTCCTACTGATATACATTTGGGTTGTTTCCAAACACTTAATATTGAAACCAATGCTGCAATAGATAACCTCAAGCACATTTGCATTTGTAAAATTTGATAGATACATTGCCCCCCACAGAGGTTGTACCAATTTACACTTCCACCACCAATTGTGAGAGGGTCTCCAGGATTTTGATAAGGTTCTATACCAAGAGTTTAAAATATGTGAATGTGCATTATTATTGCTATTTTGCAACTTTAAATGAAAGGAGAGCTGTCTTCACGACAAAGGAAAAGGTAGGGCTGTCCTTAGATCAACTTACAAAGTAGCCAACATTTTTCCTCCAACCCTTTTCTGTCCCATTCTCTCCACCCCCTTATGCAACTTTATAATCATAATCAACAATATCTGTGTAGGGCACTGAGCTAGGTTCCAGTTATGAAATAGATACATGTGCTCAAGGGTTTTGCCACTTAGTTGGTCAGACATACACAAAATACAAATATTTATGATGTTGAGTTCCGGAATGGAAAACACACCTCTTGCTTTGGGTACAAGCTTTTGCTGCATCCTATCTCTAGGTCCTTCCTTCTCTGCCCCTTTGCCTACCCAACTGGGATACCCAAGGCTTGTTGGCATCCTTACAGCTCCTTCATTTCTCCCAACGTCCATTACTGAAACTTATCCAACTTGTATTCCATCTTTCTACTGCAGATACTAGATTTTGTATTCCCCAGGTGACAATTAATCAGGTAAAATAATAGTTGCAAATCATTATGCTTTTGATTGGCACAGGTAGGGCTGGCCCTAAAGCCATTTTGAAGTAGATGCTATTCGTTTGGAGGGTGTCCCCACTCGGTTGCCCTTTCTTCTCTCTGGGCACCTTCCCTCTTGCGTGGACTCTCAGCCCTCACTGGTGCCTTCATCTTTTCTCAGGTAATTGTCAAATTATCCTTGCTGGGGTGTCAGTTAATTGTTAGGGTGTCATTCCAAAATGGCTTGAGGTGAGATACTCTTGAAACAACAGTAGAAACTGAAATGACAGGAAATATGGTTGCAATTTTGATCAAAGGGCCATATATTTCACCTACTATCTAAGCCACCTCCTTAGGAGCTTACCCTTGGCTGAGGTGAATTCATGCACTGAGACCCTGGCTCTCCCTGCCCCCATCTCATCCCTCCCACTCTATTCTGTGTAGCGTCCTGGAGCTCTGGGGACCCTTGCCCTCAGAGCTCTTTACTTGTGAACCCAGCCAGGTTCATCACTTCATATAAAGGACTTGAGCATCCTCGGATTTTGGTATCTGCCAGGGGAGAGGAGAGTGTTCTGGAAACAATGCCCCTCGATACCAAGGCACAACTGTACTTTTTAATTTTTATTAGCTGGAGTTTTAACATATACATTCTGTCTTCCAGCCACAACCAACTCTTCCATGTTTTTTCCATCAGTTGATTCTAAAATTTAAAAACCAACAATCTTGGTTTACGTTATTGTATCTATGTAAATATAGTCTAACACCAAGTCCAGTGGTAGTAGCTAAGACATATGACATAGGACTTATTGTATACCAGGTACTTCATGAACATTATTGTTTAATATTAAGAATAATCTTAAAGTCCCTTTTGACAAATGAGGAAACTGAGGCACAGAGAATCTAAGAACAGGAAATTAGAAAGTAACTGAGTCAAGACTTTCTCCTATGTGAGGATAGGATACAATTTTCTTTTCTTTAGATCCAAGTTTAGGACTCTTGCCAGCTGGAAAGAGAATGCACATCAAGATCATATATACGTATTTTTTCTTTCTTTTTTTGGGGGGGTGATGGTGGTCTTTAGCTCTGGTCAGTTTTCTTTTTTTCCATTTCTGTTGGTGACTAATTTTAGCCACTCAGGATTCCCCTCTTTCTCAGCAGATGGTTGAGTTCTCTGCTTCATGGACGAAACTGACGTCATTGGGGTAAACACCTTAATCTCCTTAGCCCTTATTGCAGTCTTCCTTACATGAGCATCACATCTTCTCTCTTTCTATCCTATCTCAAAGGAAGGGAAGAACCCCCCCACCCTATTCAAAATTTATCCTTCCTCACATTTTCATTCTCATTTCTCCTAAACCTCTGGGACTCCGCCTCAACAATTTGCCCTACTCTACCTTCCATTTTCCATCACTCCTGCGCTAATTCCTCTCCTCAACCTACAAACCTGCTCAAGACTCCCAACTTAGAGAATTCCTTCAACACACCTCTTCCTCTAGCTACTGTCCATTCTCTCTCATTCCTTCGTCAGGGCACCTCTTGGAAGAGTAGTCTACACTTACTGATGCCAAGTCTAGTCTGGTAGCTCGAATTCACGCTTCAGTTGTGCAAACTTCCTTTCATTCTCATTGTGTGACTAATTCCCTTTTGTTGTTCTTCAATCCTGGGTGATACTGGTAATCCTTTTTTAAAGGAGCAGCGTGTCCTTGGTAAGAGACTTTGAGCCTTCCTGAGATTGACTAGTAGTCCTGCTAAATGTAAGCACATTTTTTGGAAATTATTATTCAGATTAGGTACTGTTAACAATCGGACATTCAACTATAATATGTTTAATTGATTCTGAGAGGGTGTGTCCTTTGAGATGGGGCAATTACTGTTGATTTTATACTTGAAAGATTAAAATGTTCAAAATGACTGACTCTTAAGCACTAGCTAATGGCTTCACGCTCTCCTAAAAGAAGCCACTTTCCTTACTTGAAGAAGAGGTCACATTGAGTTTGAGACAAAGCCTTGAGTTCCATGGAGGTGGTGTGTTTCTGAAAAAGGGAGGCATGTGTTTTCCAATCTGGAAGCAGATGGTCCAGCATATGGAGGGGCCAAGACTTCCAATACCCTCTTGTCCACTTGTTATTTTACAAAGGTAAAAGGTTGTGCAAAGAAGAACTACAATCCTGCAGCCTGTGGAACAAAAACCACATTCACAGAAAGATAGACAAGATGAAGAGGTAGAGGGCTATGTACCAGATGAAGGAACAAGATAAAACCCCAGAAAAACAACTAAATGAAGTGGAGATAGGCACCCTTCCAGAAAAAGAATTCAGAATAATGATAGTGAAGATGATCCAGGACCTCAGAAAAAGAATGGAGGCAAAGATTGAGAAGTTGCAAGAAATGTTTAACAAAGACCTAGGAGAATTAAAAAACAAACAAACAGAGATGAACAATACAATAACTGAAACGAAAAATACACTAGAAGGAATCAATAGCAGAATAACTGAGGCAGAAGAACGGATAAGTGACCTGGAAGATAAAATAGTGGAAATAACTACCACAGAGCAGAATAAAGAAAAAAGAGTGAAAAGAAATGAAGACAGCCTAAGAGACCTCTGGGACAACATAAAATGCAAAAACATTCACATTGTAGGGGTCCCAGAAGGAGAAGAGAGAGAGAAAGGTCCTGAGAAAATATTTGAAGAGATTATAGTCAAAAACTTCCCTGACATGGGAAAGGAAATAGCCACCCAAGTCCAGGAAGCACAGAGAGTTCCAGGCAGGATAAACCCAAGGAGAAACACGCCAGGACACATAGTAATCAAATTGGCAAAAATTAAAGAAAAATTATTGAAAGCAACAAGGGAAAAATGACAAATAACATACAAGGGAACTCCCATAAGGTTAACAGCTGATTTCTCAGCAGAAACTCTACAAGCCAGAAGGGAGTGGCATGACATATTTAAAGTGATGAAAGGGAAGAACCTACAGCCAAGATTACTCTACCCTGCGAGGATCTCATTCAGATTCGATGGAGAAATCAAAAGCTTTACAGACAAGCAAAAGCTAAGAGAATTCACCACCAAACCAGCTCTACACCAAATGCTAAAGGAACTTCCGTAAGTGGGAAACACAAGAGAAGAAAAGGACCTACAAAAACAAACCCATAACAATTAAGAAAATGGTAATAGGAACATACATATCAATAATTACCTTAAACATGAATGGATTAAATGCTCCAACCAGAAGACACAGGCTCACTGAATGGATACAAAAACAAGACCCATATATATGCTGTCTACAAGAGACCCACTTCAGACCTAGGGACACATACAGACCGAAAGTGAGGGGTTGGAAAAAGATATTCCATGCAAATGGAAATCAAAAGCAAGCTGGAGTAGCAATACTCATATCAGATAAAATAGACTTTAAAATAAAGAATGTTACAAGAGACAAGGAAGGACACTACATAATGATCAAGGGAACAATCCAAGGAGAAGATATAACAATTATAAATATATATGCACCTAACATAGGAGCACCTCAGTACATAAGGCAACTGCTAACAGCTATAAAAGAGGAAATTGAAAGTAATACAATAAGAGTGGGGGACTTTAACACCTCACTTACACCAATGGACAGATCATCCAAACAGAAAATTAATAAGGAAACACAAACTTTAAATGACACAATAGACCAGATAGATTTAATTGATATTTATAGGACATTCCATCCAAAAACAGCAGATTACACTTTCTTCTCAAGTGCGCATGGAACATTCTCCAGGATAGATCACATCTTGGGTCACAAATCAAGCCTCAGTAAATTTAAGAAAATTGAAATCATATCAAGCATCTTTTCTGACCACAACGCTATGAAATTAGAAATCAATTACAGGGGAAAAAACGTTAAAAACACAAACACATGGAGACTAAACAATATGTTACTAAATAAGCAAGAGATCACTGAAGAAATCAAAGAGGAATCAAAAAATACCTAGAGACAAATGAAAATGAAAACACGACGATCCAAAAACTATGGGGATGCAGCAAAAGCAGTTCTAAGAGGGAAGTTTATAGCAATACAAGCCTACCTCAAGAAACAAGAAAAAAAAAAAAAAAGGTTGTGCAAATACTCTTCATACTCTCTTAACACTCTGGGATTCAGGAGTGGTCACTACCAGCAATAGAGTCCATATGTACTTAAATGACTTTCCCTGAGAATAATCACCTCCCAGTAATGAAATAGAGGATTAAAGCTGTGATTGCTTAAAATTATGCCTAGTGTTGAAAAAAAAATTAATTGGTCGATCTAAGAAAGAAATGGAAAATTTTATTTGAGCCAAATTGAGGATTATAACCCGGGAACAGCCTCTCAGAAAGCTCTGAGAACTGTTCTGCCTGTTAAAGGTCAAAGCACAGTTATGTAAGTTTTTGAGACAGGAGGCTGTACATTAAATGACATATTGTTGACAATTTACATAACCCAGATCTACAAGTAGTGGGTCATGGGTTATGGTGGCCCCTTATAAGAGTAACAAGGAAGGTTATCTCCTAGGGAGGTCTGGTTACTGCAGATTCACAATACACACTAAAAGGGAAGGAGGAGGCCGAAACAGGCAAAGAAAAGTTTTATGTTTAAATTTTTCTTGTCTGCCATAAAATATGAATTTTATTTCATCACTAGTGATGCAGGTAAAGTACTGTAAAGTTTAACACAGAGGAGTACCTTTTGGAAGAAACTATAGAACAATTCCTTCAGTTTAAACTAAGCCACATTTTAATTGACTTCACTTTGGACCATAAACTTCCTGTATGACCTTTTATTGTTTTCTGGACTTTCTCATTGCCTCTCTGCCCCTCCTCACATGATTTGTAGTTATGATATCTTCAAGTTTCCCCAAATTTTCAACCATACTATCTCTTCTACCAAATCTCCCTTTCCTCAGGGACTTCCCTTTTAGAGCCGTTCTTTTGCTCTAATCTCATCACTCTCTAGGTATGGTACACCGTTGGATCCACCTTTTGCTAAATCTTCTTTTTCTTGGTTTAGTCATACTCTGCTTTACTGGAAAACTTTCTGAAGAGGCTTCCTAAGAAATTGTGCATGGGAGAACAACTTCTTGAGTCCTTGCATGTCTGCAAATGTCTTTCTTCACCTCTCACAAATTATTGAGAATTAGATAGGCAGAGACTTCTAGGTTGAAAATAATTTTTTATAAAATCCTTGAGGGCATTAATTGTTCTACTATATTCTAGTACCCATTATTGATGGAAAATCAGTGATCAAACTAATCCATGTTTCTCTTTGGAGAATTTTAGCATCTCCTTATGCTTGGTATTTTGAAATATCGATATGCTCCAGAGGTGAGGATTTTATTTCCCCATTTGTTGTCCTGAGAACTTGGTGGGGTTTTCTGTTTTTTGGTGGGACTTTCTAATCTGAAGTTTGGTGTCCTTCAGTTCTGGGAAGTTGTCTTATGACAATTTCCCCCCTCTATTTCTCTCTTTCTGTGACTCTTTTTTTTTTTTTTTTTAATATTTATTTACGTGGCTGCGTCGGGTCTTAGTTGCAGCACACAGGATCTTCATTGCGGCATACGGGATCTTTAGTTGTGGCGTGAGGGCTCTTTTGTGGCATGCGGGCTTCTCTCTAGTTGTGGTGCGCAGGCTCCAGAGCACACGGGCTCAGTACTTGTGGCGTGTGGGCTCTAGAGTGCACGGGCTCAGTAGTTGTGGCACGTGGGCTTAGTTGCCCCATGGCATGTGGGATCTTAATTCCCCACCCAGGGATCGAACCTGTGTCCCCTGCATTGGAAGGCGGATTCTTAACCACTGGACCACCAGGGAAGTTCCTCTGTGACCCATTAATCAGATGCTGGTCTTTCCATATTGGTTCTCTGTATCACCTATCTTTTCTCTCATATTTTAAAATTTCTGATTTTTTTCTGAGTGATTTCCTCGACTTTATTTTTTCAGACCATCAGTTGTATTTTTAATTTTAGCAATCATATTATTAAATCTGAAAGATTTTGTTGTAGGTTTATTCTTTTTTCATAGCATTCTCTTTTGTTTCTTAAATGTAATATTTTCTTAACTCTCTCTAAACATATACATTAGAATTTGCAAACATTCCCTTCTGTTCCTTGAATTATATCTGTTTTCTTCAGTGTTACTGTTTTGGTTGTTTGTCTGGCATTTCTCTTTCATTCTGTGGTTCTTCTCAGTTGCCTGGTGATCTTTTGTTATATTAAAGAAAAACTGACCGGTTAGCTGGTGTGGGTTTTTTCTGTTGTTATGTGAGTAGGACTGTTTCCCCAGGTGGTAGCAGTAGCCACCACGTTCCAGGTGCTGTCCTGCACAAGTCAAATATATTAATTCATTTAATCATCTCAATAACACCTCTACAAGGTAGTTACTGTGGTATCTCATTAAGTTTAATATTCCATCAATTGTAAAATGTACTATAATTTTGTTTCCTGCTAAGAAGGTAAACAATGCTGTTGGACTATGACATGCCATAGACTATAAAACACATTCTGTTTTGGAGGCATTAAAAAAATCTTAGAATTGATAAAATAATACATTATCATTCCCATTTTACAGTTGAAGAAACTGAGGCATCGAGAGATTAAATAACTTTCCCAGGTTACATAGTTTTATCTGTAGTGGATTTTACATTGGAACCCAAATGATCTGGCTTCAGAATCTTACCACTATGCCTAACTGCTTCTCCAGGGCTCCTCACTGAGTGGGGACTCAAATGGGGGCTCTGAGTTGGGGGAGCTTTAGGGTGATGAGTTAGGGCAGCTGGCTTTCTGGCCCCAGGTCCCTCAAATGCCAGAACAAGGAGACCTTTAACCCAAGGCACCAACATTCATAAAGAAGTTTTAGTTTTCTCCACAAGATTTGTTCTCCTCTATTAGAGAAGAGTGATCTGGATTTTTTACCTGAAATCTAATGGGTCTAGTGGGCTGGGGCTGTCAAGGGTACCAAGTGGTACAGTTGATCCTCATCAGAACTACAGTCAATGGCATGTCTCCCTTTCCCAGCTTCAGGGTCTTGGTGGAGTAAATGGGTTTCCTGTCGTGGGTTCTTGGCACTTTCTCTGTCTGGCTCACTTGTCCATATCTTGTCTTCTCTGCTTTCTGCCTTCTAGAAACGTACACAGATCTCTCATCTGCTCTTGATCCTGCTTCCCATTCTCTTCACTGTTGTGGTTTTACTCTTTTTTATACTTTCATTTTGGTGGGGTCTTGGGAGAAGACTAGGACTAGTAGAAATGGGAGAGGTCAGTGCTTGTGCTCAGTCTTGAACCAGAAGGCCCTAGACCTCTAGTTTTAGTGAACAAAATCAATATTATAAAAGGATGACCATCATTTGAGAAAAGAAAATATTCACATTATAGCTGGCAGTGGAAAAGCACTTATAAAACCTTAGAGGCATATCTGCTTAAAAGTTTTCCTAATTGCAACTGAAGGATGCTCAACATACAACAATATTTTTAAGAGTTCCAATACATTGAGGCTTATTATTTGCTTTATGAAGGAATTATTCTTTCAAAAAGATTAACCATGAGATTTTTCCAAATTCCCCACTAGGTCATTTAGACTACAATTTTATTTTCAGAACTCTGTGTGGATATGTATATATCCACACAACTTTTCAGCATAAAGTGAGATACTTTTTCCTTCTGGATATTAAAAATTCAATACTTGGAAAATAATAGAGCACTTGAAATGTGGCCAGTGCAATTGAGGAACTGAATTTTAAGTTTTATTTAATTTTAATTAATTTAAGTTTAAAAAACTGATACTTAATTGTTGGAGAAGTTTTAGGTATGTTTGGAACAACTTGGATATACGAATTTACTTTTTAACTGTAAACTTCATGAAATCAAAATACAAGGTTTTCCAATGAAATTAGTTGATAACTGGATTGAGATGCGCTCTAAGTATAAAATAAACACTGGATTTTGAAAACTTAAACATAATAAAGAATGTAAAACATATCATTAATAATTTTATATTGATTTTGCGTTACAGTGATAATACTTTGGATACATTGTCCTAAGTAAAATATATTACTAAAATTATTTTTACCTGATTTTACCAGTAGAACATTTAAAATTCATATGTAGCTTGAATTATATTTCTACTGGACAGAGTTGACCTATTCCAGTGCAAGGCTTTGCTTTTCGATAGTCATTATGATGCTGGGATTTCATCCCTCTCCTTGTCTAAGACAGTTTTAAGTGACTAGTGGTGAGTGATTTACAGAGTTGATGGAGTTTTCTCTTTGAATTCTTATGCAGATCACAACCCACCTTCTCAGCCCAAGGAGAATAGCATTGGCCAGAACCATCACCAGGAGGAAATAATCCACAAGTTGGCCAGGCAGCTGAGAAACATCGGGGACAACATCGATCATAGAATGGTTCAGGAGGTGAGAATTCAGTTTCCCCAGTAAGGGCCTGTCAGGGAGGAGGAAAGAACAAACAGAACAATGGCTGTCAAGTGGCTGGGATGCCCAGGAATTAGCAGAACACACAGATTAATGATGACTGGATTACCAAGCATTAGATCTGAAAATTGTGAACCTGGGTCAAAGCCAGTATTAGATCTCACACTTGCTACTCAAACTGTGTGGTCCATGGACCAGCAGCATCAGCATCATTTGGCAGCTGGTCAGATGTGCACAATCTCGGGCCCCAGCCCACAACTCTGGAATCAGAATTTACCATTTTACACACACCCTAGGAGATTTGAGTGCACATTGAAGTGTGAGAAACGTTGCTTCATACCCTCAAACTAGGATGCATGTTAGATTCACCTGTGAAGTTTTAAGAATTACAGATGCTGGGCCCCACCTTGAGAGATTAGTCCAGGTGAATCTAACACTCCGTCAGGGAGGAGAACCTTTGCCTTAGATGGTGGTCATCCTCCTTGAACCAAACCAGGTTATGACCTAAGCCCAACTCCCCCTGATTTCTTTGTTTCTCCTGATTATTGTAAGAGATCTAAGGGAAACAGGAAAGAATAATGATTACTGTTTCAAATCTTAGGGGTGATGAAATCCACAGCCCACTTAGTTTTCCTCCAGAACAACCTGCAGTTGGCAGCAGCTAGAGAATGATCACGTGGGGCTCTGTGGTAGGGGGGTGGCTGCCCCTCAGAGCCCAACTTCCTCCCCTTAAATGCAGCACAGGACAGGTACCTGTGGTGATTTCTTGTTTATCACTGCTGCTATCATCATGCTGACTTCAGGGAGTGCCAGGCCCTCTTCTATGCTCTGGTCCAAATGTGGCAGTACTCAGCCATGCCCTCAAATAAAACATTCCCTGAGACAAAACAAGAATGGAAGGTCCCAGCAATAATGTTACTGAAAGTAAGAAAGAAACAAACACAAATAAAATACTGATAGACCAATTTCACTCCAACAAATATTTATTGAGTGCCTACTACGTGCCAGACTCAGTTCCAGGCAGAGAGCAGGAATGGAAGATGAGCCTGCTGTCATAGGACTCATAATGTAGGAGAGACAAACAGTAAAGCAGATGACTAGACTCTAGGGGATACCGAGTGATGGAGAGCGACTTTGGATGGGCCATCAGGGAAGGCCCTCTCTGGGGAGGTGATATTTGAGCAGAGACTGGAAGTGAGGGAGTGAGCCATGGGAATACCTGGGGGGGAAGTGTTCCAGACAGAGGAAACTGGGAGGGCAAAGTCCTTGGGATAGGAACAACAAGGAGGCCAGATTGGCTGGAGTCGGGGGTGTTGAAGTCTAGGAGTTGGCCTCCGTCCTAGAGACAGGGGTAAGGTGTTTGGGTTTTGCGCCAAGTATAAAGGAAGCTTCTGGGGAGGGAGAGCAGGAGAGTGCCATGTGCTGATTTACGTTTAGAATGAAGCCTGGCTGCACGGTGCAGAGAATAGGCTGTTGTGAACATTAAGAGAGAGAATCTATGTAAATCACTTGGAATAGAGACTGACCCACAGAAAATGATCAATAGATGTTATTGAAGCCAAAATATTAATTTGTTTCTGGCCTTTGCCCTTTCACTACTTGGAGTTGAACACTTCTTTGCTGTGTATCATTTATTACAGGGCACTCATGATACTCTCCACCTCCCTTCCATGCTCCAGCTTCTTCTATAGTTTTCACTGATGACCGTGCTTTATGAATTCTGGGCAAGTCCTTAGTTCAACTTTTCTGCTTCTTTGTTAGCTAACATTCTGAATACTCCTGGTTCCTTCTAATTTTTCCTCTGAGGAGGAGAACAGAGTAGGACAAATCACAACCACCTATTTTCTAAGTTTACCTCAACCCAATCAGGAAGTCACTTCTCCATGTAACCACCTCTTCCATTTTTCTTTTCTTTCTCTCCCTTACCTTTTTTTTGGTAATGATTTTTTTCCCTTACCTTTTAAGTTGTAATTTACTTATGTTTTAAATTTACCTCTGCAACTTAATAAACTGACACTTTTCTTTTTTTAAAAAATAACTTTGAGAAATAAAATTCACATAACATACAATTCACCCATTTCAACAGTATAATAAATGGTTTGTAGTATATTCATAGAGTTGTACAGCCAGTCATCACAATCAATTTTAGAACATTTTCATCACTCCAGAAAGACACCTCAAATCCAATAGTAGTCCCTTCTCGTTTCCTCCCATTTTCCCCCCTGGCCCCACCAATCTATGTTCTGTCTCTCTGGATTTGCCTATTCTGGAATTTCATATAAGGGAACTAATATAATATGTTGTCTTTACGTTTGGCTTCTTTCACTTAACACAATATTTTTTTCAAGGTTCATCCACGTTGTAGCATGAATCAGTACTTCATCTCTTTTTATGGCTGAATAATATTCTTCTGTATGTATATATCACATTTTGTTTATCCATTCATCACTTGATGAACGTTTGGGTTGTTTCCACTTTTTGACTATTATAAATAATGATGCTATGAACATGTGTGTAGAAGTTTTTGTGTAGGCATGTTTTCAGTTCTTTTGAGTACATACCTAGGAGTGGAATTGCTGGGTCATATGACAACTTTATATTTAACTTTTTGAGGAACTTCCAGACCATTTTCCGAAGGGGCTGCACTATTTACATTGTGGCCCACCAGCAGGGTACAAGGGTTCCTGTTTCTCCACATTCTTGTCAAAATTTATTGTTAACTGTCTTTTTGATTATAGTCAGCCTAGTGGGTGTGAAGTAGAATCTCGTTGTGGGTTTGATTTGCACTTCCCTGATGGTTAATGTTGTGCATCTTTTCATGTGCATATTGGTCATCTGTGTAACTCTTTGGAGAAATGTCTATTCAGATCCTTGGCCCATTTTTAAATTGGGTTGTTGGAGTTCTTTATATATTCCAGATGTAAGTTCCTTATCAGATATATTATTTGCAAATATTTTCTCCCATTCTGAAGTTCATCTTTCACCTCGTTTTATGTCTTTCACCTTCTTGATGTTCATGGAAGTGCAAAAGTTTTAAATTTTGATGAATTTCAATTTATCTATTTTTCTTTTGTTGCTAGTGCTTTTGGGGTCATATCTAAGAAACCATTGCCTAATCCAAAGTCATGAAGATTTATACCTATGTTTTCTTTCAAGAGATTGACTTTTAGCTCTTAAATTTAGGTCTTTGACCCATTTAGAGTTCATTTTTTGTATATGGTATGAATTAAAAGTTCACCTTCATTCTTTCGCACGTGGGTATTCAGTTGTCACAGCACCCTCTGTTGAAAAGACTACTTCTTTCCTACTGAATTGCCTTGGCACCCTTGTTGAAAATCAACTAACTGTAAATTTTGGGGTTTATTTCTGGACTCTCAATTCTATTCCATTGATCTATATGTCTATCTGTATGCCTGCCCTAGATTTTCTTGCAACATTTTACAAAGCTAGCTTTGACCTAGACTTTTAATCTTGTCTTGTACTGCGAAATTGCATTTTAGAACACTTTAAATAGACCACAGAATATTTTTAAAAATTCCTCCGAAGTTTGCCTCTAAAATGCTAAACAGTCAAATGCATGATTTACTCTGCTACTTTAAGGCTTACCTCAAGCAACTATAACAGAATTTCAAATCCGGCATGGTATATTTCTTTCATATAGTCATTTATTCACCTTTTGTACTTTGTTTAATCAAGTGGTCACGTTGATTCTCCAGATATCTTCCTGCTTTTGATGTATTTAAAGAAACTTTTATTCTTGCTCTTGCAACTCCCCGACAAGGAGCTCACCAAGGTGTATTTTTGTCTACCAAATTGATTGTCCTTGAGCTATCACATAGCTTGACTTCTTACTCTTTTCACTTAAGCAAGTGTTCTGTGTTTTCAAATAGGCCTTGATTCTCAAAATAACATCTTCTATTTTGCCATCTAGTTTTGAGGGGTTCTAGTTCGAGGACCTGGTCTTCTTTGGGGTTTTTTTGGTTTTTTTTTTGGTACGCGGGCCTCTCACTGTTGTGGCCTCTCCCGTTGCGGAGCACAGGCTCCGGACGCGCAGGCTCAGCGGCCGTGGCTCACGGGCCCAGACGCTCCACGGCATGTGGGATCTTCCCGGACCGGGGCACGAACCCGTGTCCCCTGCATCGGCAGGTGGACTCTCAACCACTGCGCCACCAGGGAAGCCCAAAGTGTGTTTAAAAATAGTCTTGGGACTTCCCTGGTGGTTCAGTGGTTAAGACTCCGTGCTCCCAATGCAGGGGGCTGGGTTCGATCCCTGGCCAGGGAACTAGATCCCACACGCATGCCTCAACTAAGAGTTCGCATGCCACGACTAAGGAGCCCATGTGTTGCAACTAAGGAGCCCGCGAGCCGCAACTAAGGAGCCGGCGAGCCGCAACTAAGACCTGGTGCAACCAAATAAATAATATAAAAAATATAGTCTTCCTGTTGCTTTTACGATCTTAAATGTGTCTTTGAAATTTTTCTCCACAGGACTCGCTCCTGGGTTCTAGAAACTTCCCCCTCCCTGTCCCTACAGGCCTAGGAGTGGCAACAACTCTGCTGTTGCCAGCCTACCCTTATGCCTCCTCCCCCAACTTTTGTAGACAGTGTCTTTATCTGATCTTCCCTGAATTATTCCTAATTTGAGTATGCCATCTGTTTTCTCTGGGACCCTGACAGTAACGTATAAGGAATTTCTTAGTTTGTTAGAAAGACAAGAGGGAAACAAACATTTATTAAACATTTTCTTCCACGTACTCTGAGATACTCTTATGTGTTTCATTTAATTTTCCAAATAACTCTATGAATTAGTGGAATAGGTATTTCAGGAGAGGTATTTGAGGTTCAGAGAGATTAGATATCCTATCCAAGGTTACTCAGCAACTAAGTGGCAAAACTGGAATTTAAATATACGAGCATCTGACTCAGTGCTCTACACATTTTCTTGTCTGCCTTGCTGGAAGGAAATTCATTCAATTCTTGTAACTGATATCAACTATAAAAGGGAGAAAAAAAGTTCTTTCATGATTTCCAGTTATTGATAGGACAAAGTCTAAATTCCTTAGCCTGATGCTAATGGTTTATCATGCATTCATTCATTCAGTCAACTAATATTTATTGAGCACCTACTATGTCTCAGGCTCCATTTAAGTGCTGGAGATATGGCAGTGATCAAAAGAGAAAACTTCCCTGATCTCGTGGAGACAAACGATAAACAAACAAACAAAGAATATAGTTTATCAGATAGTCATGAGGAGTGTTGGGGGATTTGCAGTTTTAAGGGAAGGCCTCACTGAAGGTGCCTTCTGAGCAAAACCTTGACAGAGGTAGGGGAGGGTCCGTGGACCTGGGGAGAGAGCAGTGGAGGCAGGTGAATAGCAAAGACTGAGGCAGGGGCATGTCTGGCATATTTGAAGAATAGCAAGGAGGCCAGGGTGGCTGAAGCTGAGTAATGCAGAAAGCTGGAAAGATACGGTCAGAGAGGTGGGTGGCAGGGCCTTGAGGTCGCTGTAAGGGCTCTTTTGAGTGCGGCCAAACCACTGGAGAGCACTGAGCAGAGGGGCCGCGTCGCAACAGTCCCCGAGGCTGCTGGGTTGAGAACAGACTGCAGGAGGAGGGCAGGGCCAGGGAGAGCCCTTTCTGTCTGGCCCCCAGCCTTCTTCTCCTGATACTCCCATAAAAACAGTGGCATTTACTTACAGCTCCAGAAATCTGCTGTGGTCGTCACTTCCAACTTTGCTCATATTCACCCCTCTTCACCATCTAAGTCTGTTCTTCCAACCCCAAAGCAGACTCCCTTACTTCTTTGAAAGGACTAAGAAAGTGCTCTGGGAAGCCAGAGAAAGAGGTTAATCAACCCTGAAAAGAGTGCCCCTATTTGCTGATGGTGAAGATGGGAAAACGTCCAGAGGAAAACTTCCCAAGGTGCTGTGGAGGGTATGGACATTATGGAACAGACTAAGATATTCTTCCACTCATATACTTCATGAAGCAGCCCTAGATGCTTGTCTGTGGCATCGACTGAATTAGTATCAATACCGAACTTCTAACTTTGGATTATTTTATCACTTAAAAAACAAATTTAACCTCTTTCTTGCTCTCTTTTTAAACAGGATTTTCAACAAGAAGACAGAGCTATCCTGGCTCATTTTGTCTTAGTTTTCTTTGGAGGAGTTCACATGTTGTTGCGCTTTCTCTGGAATAACCACGTGATGTAAAAGGAATGTAAATGTCAGGTTCTGCTTTCCTTCTACCCTCTGAGAAAATATGCATCCCACTGGGGCAGATGGGAAGAAGACCCGTCTCTACCTCCTCTGTTTTCACCCACCATTGTTGCTTTGTGCCTGATTGTTGGAGAACTGCGGACTCACTGGCCATTTGTCTGTTCACTGGTCAACCAGCGATGAGATGTCTATGACTGCCCCATGGTAGAGCCCAAGGAACTTAGGAACCCAGGAGGCCTTGCTGCTTAGGAAACACCAGCGCTGTGGATAGTCCCAGTGCTCCTTGTAAGGAAACCTTGAACATTTCCTCTTATGAGGGAAATTGAACCTCATCCCCAAACCAGAGGTCACAGGAATGGGTGCTTTCTCCTGGCCCCCTCCCCTGGGTACCAGGCCCTCCAGCAGCCTGTTGACCCCACTCTCGTTGCTCACGTCCAGACCTGCAGTGCCCTGTCCTCTTTTTACCTTCTGTCTACCTCATATTCCTCCCTCCCTTTGAGAAGTATGGCAAGTGTTAAGAAAATTTGTTGTTATAAATTATAACTTCTGTATATGCGTTTTGAGTTCTTTGTAGGAAAAGTGTTATTTAAAAAATTAATAATTTAAAACATAAAATAAATATGGTTATTTTATTGAGCATGAAACACCTGTGCATATTTCTTTTGTGAAGGAGGGATTCCACTTGTTCCTGCTCATATGGGGTCATAATTTTGTAGTTTGATCATATATAGCATCGGGCAATGTCCTCATTTTTTAGGTCTGTCTCAGGCAATGCCTATCATCACCTAGGTTTTGGCTTCCTGGCAGGGAACAGATCCTAAAACGTCTTTCTTATTTATTTTGTTTAACTCTTTTGAGTAGGCATTTATTTATTCATATGGTTAAAAAAATCAAAACCATATAAAAAGGTTTACAATGAAAACCCTTGCTCTTATTTTCTATACTGAATCCCAATTATGTTTGTAAATTTGTTACATATCCTTCCAGAGTTTCTTTGTACAAATACCAGTAAATATATATATACACACAAAAGGTAGCATGTAATATACACTGTTATGTGCCTTGATTTTTTTGCTTAGCATGGTGGTCACGCACTATTCTACTTGTCTTACAAACGTTAACTCATTTACTCTTCATAAGAACATCATGATACAGGTATTATCAATATTATTAGCTCTATTTTACTGTTAAGGAAACTGAGGCAGAAGTGAGTAGAGAGAGGCAGTACAGAAGGTAACTAAGTTGCTCAAGTGCACACAGCCAGTAAGTGACATAGCTGGGTTACCAAGCCAGGCAGGCTGTTCTCAGAGTCTGGGCTCTTAACCACGTGCTGTACTACCTCTTGGAGAGTTTGCCACGGTCCATAGAGAACTCTGTCAGACAGGATGCACAGAATTCTGTTAAATGGATGTAGCATCATTTATTTCATCAGCCCCTTCTTAACGGATGCCTGGGTTGTTTCTAATCATTCGGTATAATAAGCAATGCTGCAATAAATAACCATGTACCTTTTAGATATGTACAAATACATACATATTCCTATTGCTCATTTTTCTATTGGGTTTCTGGTCTTGTTCTTACTGGTTTCTAGGAGCTCATGATTTATCAATGCTAAGCCAACAGCATCTACACCTTCAGATTTTTGGCAGGTTATTAAGGCTTTTTGCCTCCTTTTCTTCCGTGTGTATGGGTTTGCTTTAGTGCTTACAACCTTTCTGGGCTCCCCCTCAAGGCAGAGGGAGCTAAGGCAGGTACACACGGGTGATGGGTGGGTGGGTATTACACTTGGAGCAGCCAGAGGCCTGGGAAGAGGTGGCAGCTGGGATCCACTGAGTACTTGGGTCTAGGTCAGAAGAGCATTATAGCCTCACTGATGCTGGCATTCAGGCATGGGGCGGTGGGGCCTCCACCTGGCCAAAGGGCAGGCCGTGGCCGGGTTGGAGCTGGGAATGTCACTCACCCGTAAGGGGAGAGACACCTGGTCCAGGCAGACAGCATGGGAGGCCCCCTCCTATCCATCTGCAGAGATGAACAGGAAGTTGGTGCCATGAAGTTGGTCTGTTGCTGTCACGAGTCCAGGACCAGGGATTCCCTCAGCTCTCTAGATCCCCCAGAATCCCACCTCTGTCCCCCTGGGAGCCAGTGCCAGGATGCCCGAGGGGCTGTCCATCTGCGAAAGGATGCGAGCAGGACCGATGCCTCCCAGTGGGCGAGCCCACGGCACCCTGGTCTCCCCTCCTGCAGGGGCCAGCCCCTGTGCTCCCCCGAGCTGACCAGGATGCGAGTGGAAGCTGGATCCCGCTCTTTCGTTTTCATTTCCTGGAAGGACAGCAACTACCAGAGCACCCTGCACACCTGCTCGCCCGGGGAACCTGAGCACACAGCACCCAGTGCTATTTGAGATTCCATCCCATGAGACCTTCCAGTTTTGGGGGCCAAGTTAGGGGTTTGGGGAAGGAGGGCCTGAGAGCGCTGGCCTAGGGTCCAGCAGCTGCAGCCACCGGTGCACTCACGATGGACAGCCGGGTGGCTCCCTCACCTCCACCTGTAATGCAGGTAAGAGCCTGGCAGCTGAACCACGCAGTGTGCACACAGAGCCACCTGCCCTCTGCCTCTTCTCTACCACCTCAATTTCCATACCCATTTTATCAGACCTTCTGCCTGGCTGGAATCTCACTTTCCAGCACATTCCCAAACCTCACCCATCCCTCACCGCCTCTCACTCTCCTCCACCTCACTCACCTCCAGCCTCTCATTCGATCCCTTCGAAACCCCTATGTGTCATACACTGCTCCTCCTCCCTCCTTCTCACCTCTACACCAATCAGATGCAGTTCCTGCACAAGCCACACCCTCACAGCTGGCAGAGGCAACTACGCAGGGGCTCCTCGCCTTAGCAGTCCCTCTCCATTGGACATTATTTCCCTAGGAGCCTCAGAAGCCCCCAGAGCTGGGCCCCCTTCCCACCTCCAAGGCCCTTCTCCACTTCTCTCTCTCCAAGATCCATATCCACATCCACTTTTTTTTTTTTTTTTTTAAATCAGACGTTTTCCTTGCCTTCGTGTGGAACCGTGAGCTCTATCTCTCTGCAGCTCCCTGGCTGGCATTTCCCAGGCAGTCACAGCCTGGAATTCCCCATTCCTCACACTTGGAAGAGGGCAGAGGAGTAGACAAGGAGCTCCCTGCAAGTCCCAGGTGAGTCTAGGCCTTGAACCCCTTCTCCAGCTTGGCAAGCCCCCTCTGCTAGGTGGCAACCTCTGAGGCAGGGTTACTTGGGTACAGCACCAAGTGGGGCCTGGGGGGGTGGAAGCAAACAAGAAATGCAGTGAGAAGTATCCCCAAGGTGTCGAATCCTCTTCTGCGGAGGCCAGGGCTTCTTGAGTTTGCTTTGCTGGCTCCAGATGACAGTCTTTCACTGCACATTGTCCTCCTCAGACACCAAGAGATGAACATAATGCTCTTGGAGATCCCAGAGTGAGAAAATGACTCCTACTGGGATTGGTTTCTTTTTTTTTTTTAATTAATTAATTAATTTTTGGCTGTGTTGGGTCTTCGTTGCTGCATGCCGGCTTTCTCTAGTTGTGGCGAGCGGGGGCTACTCTTCGTTGTGGTGCACGGGCTTCTCGTTGCAGTGGCTTCTCTTGTTGCGGAGCACGGGCTCCAGGTGCGCGGGCTTCAATAGTTGTGGCTCGCAGGCTCAGTAGTTGTAGCGCTAGGTGCTTAGTTGCTCCACAGCATGTGGGATCTTCCCGGACCAGGGCTCGAACCCGTGTCCCCTGCCTTGGCAGGCGGCTTCTTAACCACTGCACCACCAGGGAATTCCCTGGTTTCACTTTTACTTTTCACGATGTGGCAGCCTGTGGCACGGCATGAGCCCCAAGGAGCCCCCTGTTTCTACAAAATTCTGTCACTTTTTCATCCCCTCATTCTGATGGCTGAACCAAATCACCTCTAGGGGCCAGGATGACTGTAACACTGTAAAGATAAAGACTTCCCTTGGTGGGACCTTGGGATTCAGAAGTTCATCCTTTCTCTTTTGAAAAATAGCATTTGCTTTTTTATATGTTTCTGGTTGAAGGTCTTTTTATCCTGGTCTCTCAGGTTCCCTGTGTCCTCACCAAGGTTCCTGGGCTCTCAGATTTCCGGATTACAAGTCAAGTATTGTCAGGGGAGCCTTCTGGTAGGATTAGGTGGAGGCATGAAAAGCTTGAACTGGAAAGATGAAATTTACTGAGTGTCCACTGGGTACAAAAGGGGTCCCCAACCTCGGGGCCATGGACTGGTACCAGTCCATTGACTGTTAGGAACCAGGCCGCACAGCAGGAGGTGATCAGCGGTCGAGTGAGCGAAGCTTCATCTGTGTTTACAGCCACTCCCCATCGCTCACATTACCGCTTGAGCTCCTCTTCCTGTCAGGTCAGCGGCAGCATTAGATTCTCAGAGGAGCGTGAACCCTACTGTGAACTGCGCATGCGAGGGATCGAGGTTGCGCGCTCCTTATGAGAATCTAATGCCTGATGATCTGAGGTGGAGCTGAGGCGGTAATGCTCGTGCTGGGGAGCGGCTGCAAATACAGATTATCATTAGCAGAGAGGTTTGACTGCACAGAGACCACAATAAATCAATTGTTTGCAGACTCATATCAAACCCCTATCAGTGAGTGGCAAGTAAAAACAAGCTCAGGGCTCCCACTGATTCTGCATTATGGTGAGTTGTATAATTATTTCATTATATATTACAATGTATTAATAATAGAAATAAAGTGCACAATAAATGTAATGTGCTTGAATCATCCCGAAACCATCCTACCCCGCCCCTGCTGGTCCGTGGAAAAACTGTCTTCCATGAAACCTGTCCCTGGTGCCAATAAGGTTGGGGACCGCTAGTGTACAAGATGTTGATGGTACCAAGCTGAAGACATATGTGGTTCCTACCTGTAAGGTAGACACACTCCTCCTCTTTGAAAAAAATTCTTAATATATTTAAGGATGACTGAGCCTTCACCAAGATGCTCATCTTTGACTGCCCTGGTTTTCCCTCTCTATAGGAGGGAGCTGATTCTCCCGTGAATCCCGAGGCAGCCACACCACCCCCAGACACCTAGGCCCAAGCCAGATGGGACGCTCGAGTGAATCTGCTGGGTGAGGGGGGAAATCTACAAGCTGCTGGGAAGACTCTGTGAGAGAGGGGAGAAGAAAGGCTGATGTTTTTACAGAATGTAAATGTGATGCATAAACTTCTTATCCAAGGAATTGCCTTCCCCCATTTGCTATTTCTTTCTTTTTTTAAAAAATATTTATTTATTTGGTTGTGTCGGGTCTTAGTTGTGGCAGGTGGGCTCCTCAGTTGCAGCTTGCCAGCTCCTTAGTTGTGGCACATGGGCTCCTTAGTTGTGGCATGCGAACTCTTAGTTGTGGCATGCATGTGGGATCTAGTTCCCTGACCAGGGATTGAACCCCGGGCCCCCTGCATTGTGAGCACAGAGCCTTCACCACCGCGCCACCAGGGAAGTCCCCATTTGCTATTTCTTTGCTGTTTTTTTTTGGCTGCGCCAGGCAGCTGTGGGATCTTA